GCGACTTGCCGTTGATCCGGGCCTCCCGGCACTGCAGGCCCTTCCCGCCGCTCAGCCTGTGCACGTACAGCAACTCGTGGCTTCTGGAATACTGCCACGTCGACGCCGTCATGGCGTGGTCGCCGTGGGCGAAGTGCGGCCACACCATCTGCCGGTCCGGCCCGTGCAGCTGCACGCTGTACCGCCGGATCCACCTCCGGCCGCCCGCGCCGCCCTCCAGCACCCACACCTGCGTGGAGAAACAGAGGAGAGTCAAGGAATGACACGGATAAGAACATGCACTTAGTTAGAGCACCGTTCATTAGAAGTGCAACTGACGATGGTTAAGCAAAGAAGATGGTGGAAGCATTCGAAAAGATGGTGAAACAGAGGATTTTAGATCTCTAGGATTCGCTCTCTATAATGTTTTCTTCGTTCCAAATTATTTGTTTTAAAGAAAATTAAACTCAGTAATTTTTTTATAATTAATGACTAATAATTACACTAACAATATAATGTTATATTGTTAGATTTGTACTTTAAAATACTTTCAAGTGACTAATTTTATAGTTATTGATAACATATATAATATAAAATAAATTTGTGTTTAAAGTCTGTTATTGAAAACTGTGTAAAAAATTTATATACCTTATAAGTATTCCCTTATTCTAGGTTGTTATATTCTAGGACGGAGGTAGTAGTAAAGTTCTTTAAAAAAAATGAAACCAATCTAGAAAGGACTAGATTAATTTTGAATTAAAGAGGGGGTGAGACTCAAACCCGGACCGGCTAGCTGGCACCTTGTGTTGCTAGCCGGGAAGACTAGTAAAGTTCTCTAACCATACATGTAGTTATAGCACAGGAGACATCAGATCAGACATTAATGGAGGAGCAGACTGTAGACTGCTGTGATCAGCAGGTGCTTAGAATCCTAAGATTTGCCGAGCGTCCAAGTAAAAAAATCCTACAGACCGTCAGGAAAATTTAGGTGGCCGACCGTTTGAAATTTTAATGAGGGTGGTTACGAGAACATTCGGCTATTTAGCATGTGGCCGATGGGATATATCAGTGAGTGAGAGTTATAAGATACCACTCGGAAATGGTTATAAGTGGCCGACGGGGTATATTAGTAATCGAGAGGTTTAATTTAACTCTCGGAAATTATTATTAGTGGCCGACGGGGTATATTAATAACCGAGGGGTTTAATTTAACTCTCGGAAATTATTATTAGTGGCCGATAGGGTATATTAGTAACCGAGGGGTTTAATTTAACTCTCGGAAATGATTATAAGTGGCCGACGGGGTAGATTAGTAACCGAGGGGTTTAATATAACTCTCGAAAATTATTATTAGTGACCGATGGGGTATATTAGTAACCGAGGGGTATATTAATGGACTCTCTAGTCTTTACCATATTAACCACATAGTTGTTATCTTCAATTTGATTGGTTTCATATATAAGACATCTTGTGCTTAGCATGAAAGATAGTATATATGCTTATCCATTTTATTCTCATATATCCTCTTTATGCGAGTTATTATCATAGCCAATTTTCTCCTTTTTCATTTCATTCTTCTCGGCCCCCTGCCCACTGTATGTACCCGCTTCATGGCACAACATCCCAATCTCAAAAATTATTATCTCGTTTCTTTACAAATGCAATGTATAAGATTATTTTTCACATGATTAAACCATGTATGCTCATGTATGTTTGCATTAAAAGAGTTTATAACTTTGACCAGGTGAGTAGTTTATGAAATGGCATGCATATACGTCAAACTGAAGAGAACATTATTCAATAGTATTAAAATTGTGCCAAAAAGCATAAAAATGTGGCCATATTTTATTAATATTATCTACTATTTTGTAAGCATGATGTATATATACAATCCAAAATTTTAAAAAATATATGTCAAATGTTGGGTTTGAACTCAAGACCTCCAACATAAATAATAGTTCCAAACCAGCTAAGCTCAGCCTTGTACACTGAACAAAGAGGCACCAAAATATTAAAGTACGTGTTAGTGACCTAAAAATTTCCAATTTGCAGTGTGGCCGACAGTTTCCTTATTCGCGCCCACTTCCGATCTCCTAAAATAATACGCGCGCAAATTAGCCACCCACGCGATAAGTATATACTCCTACTCTTGCGCCTTTTCTCCTTCGAAATAGTTGGAAGCAAAACTGATTCATTAGATTGAATCTGTGAATTCCCTTCCTCTCCGTATGTCATCTCCCCCACGGGCGGAATTTGTTCGCCGGGCACACGCGAGGGCACCACTCCACGTCAAGGTATGGTCATCCCTCCCTCCTGCTCTCCCTCCCTCAAAGTTTTCTTCCTGCAATGACCTTATTCTCTACATTAATCTGATTTTCGATTTTTGTTGAGTGCATTTTCCTAGCAACGATCTGTAGTGGATGAACAACTATGTGTTAAATTAAGATAATTAGCAAAGATCTGTAGTGGATGCTGCTGTCCTGTGGACTCTGCCCTTCGCCTGGGTGCCCCAGTGCTGGCTCTTTCCTAAAAATTCCTAATTTACTCCTCTTCTCAAATCTCCCAATCCACTTCTCCCTTTTATCTAGGGATATAGCGAACTTCCTCTTCACTTCACAGTATCCCCATATTACTTGCACACTGGCTGGCACACTGTAGAATTCTTCAAGACATGTACTTTTTTCATTTAGTTTACTTCCCCTGCAGATTGTCCATTTTTTTCTGTTCGGAATCTATACACTGTCATTCTTCGCTGCACAATCATGCCCATGGCTGTTGAATCTAGAAAACTCCCATATATACTCATTTTTTAACTTCTGGAATATAGTATATAAAATTTTGAATGACACTCTCAGGCAACCTTCTAATGGAGGAGGCTGATCGTCCTAGAATAGTCCTAGCTGGCGAGTAAGTTTTAAATAAATTTCATTTTGACTTCTTCAAGTGTATGCTTAACAAAAAGCTTTATTACAAAACAGAGCCAATATATATGGATGAACGAATTTGTGGATATACTAATAATTTACTTTTCTGTTTGTAGCGCTTTTGAAGTGTATCCTCATATCTCATCTCGTAGACCATCAACAGTGCAAGGTGCACTGTTGCGTATGTTCTATCCTAGTGCTATTGGTCTCCCAGAATTCAGGACACCTGCACTTACTTGGAGGGACTACAAGAGGTCTACAAATGAAAGAATAATGTCACCAGCTAACCGAGTTCTTAAAGAATTTTGGGTAAGATTTCCTCAGATTTGTGATAGTCTCAACAGTGTGGAAAAATAATATTATTCTTGCTTGATTTGGCAGTATTGTTTTAAATGTGATCCCACTGACAAAGTGGAAGCTGATAAAGTCTTGGAGCAAAATTTCAAGAAGAAAGTGCCACAAATGCTGTTTGAAGAGAAGAAAAGAGCTACTAATAAGTTATATAAAAAAGGCAAAGTACCAGCAGAGGATGTTGATGAGGATGGTAACCATTGGCCTACTGTGCAAGCTTTGGTTTCTGCTAAACCAAAGGATTTTTTAGTTACTGAAGAGGGTTGGCGTTTACTTTTTGAGCACTAGAGTACACCTGAATTTAGGAAGAAATCTTTAAATGGGAAGAGAAACAGGTTAGCTGGAGGTGATACTGTATACCAATGCGACGGGTCGTGAGGCTTGGTTGCCATGAAGCAGTCCCTGGTACTTTGTTAATTTGTAGCAATCCATAGAGCTTGTTCCTATATTAAAAAAGTTGCATATACTAATTTATTTGTAATGTAGCAACATAAAAAAGGTGGGCAACAAGGACTTGCTGCTGCTTGGCAGCACACACACGAGATGCAACAAGGAAATAATGAACAGCTATGCAACCAGAGGACAGAAGAAGCTTGGGTAAGCTCTGTAATTTTACTTTTTAAAGACTTCTGCTTAATAATTATGAGAACCAAATCCTCGGTAATGTTGAACCTCTAATGATCAATTACTAGCTTAAGTTTGGACTTAGACACATATGCTACTTGCCTCCTAGATTTGGAAATTTTCATCAGGAACTCCCCCATGTGTGCCAATGTAGAAACCCTCCAAAATAAGTTTCTTTCAAAGTATTCTTGTGATAGCGAATACAAGTTTTCTCTAGTGCAGTACCTAACATTATCTAAATATAGTACAATATCTAATGTTTAAGATACAATCATATCTGCAGAGTGATTTTGATCAAGAGGAAGGAAATGAGATTGATGATGATGAGGGCAATGATTTTGATCTTGAGGAAGGAAATGAGATTCCTGAAGAAGAGGGCAATAGAAGACGGACCACCCTTGTAGCTTAGAGATTTTTCCTCTCAATCTATCTTATTTTAAATGTTACAGACTTGTTTCAATTAAAGTCTTTCATGCAAGACATGTCATGTATTACTTAGTTTTGCTATGGTGATGGATGATAAATATTTTAGAACAATTTGGTTATATATTTATGGTTGAACTTCCCGTGGATCTGTTTATGGATTAATTAAGCTGAAATTTATTTTGATGTGACTATGCGCAGTAAGTTACTTTTATAAGATTAATTAAAAATGGGTACAATTTAAATTTGCTTTTTTTTAGAAAATATCAAATTACCGAGGGTTAGATTTACTTTTCCAAGTAACCTAAATAACCTCTCAGTTATACTATTTCCGAGGGTAACGAATGGATGACGGTATAAAAAAAACCTATGGCAAATACTATTTCCGAAGGCCTACAGAACCATCGGTCACTAAATAGCCGAGGGTTCTCAATTTGACGGGAAAATAAACCTCTCGGTGAGAATAAGAATAACCGACGGTATACACTCGGGAAATGTGGTCGGCAAGAAAGAACCATGCGTGGTCTCTGAAAAAATGACCGACCGTAAACCCTCGGGACGAAACCCTCGGGTACATGGTTAACGAGGGTACCCTCGGCAATATGATCAATTACCGACCACATGTTGCTGAGGGGAAGTTGCCGACGGTACCCACTCAGTAATAAGTATGGCCGACAGTTTAAATAGGTGGCCGACGGTTTAAACCCCCTTGGTAAAAGTTTGGAATCTTGTAGTAATTACCTCTGTCTTGGTGTTCGTCGGCTGGGTGACGATGGCGGCGACGGCGAGCCTCCCGTGTGCCTCGGTCAGGCGGCACTGGCGGCCAGGCTCCGACGCGGGCGCCGGCAGCGTGATCACGACGGTGATGCGCTCGTCCTTGAGGTCCAGCGACATGACCTTCTCGGTGTCCATGGCGACCCAGTAGGTGAAGCCGTCGACGCTGACGAGCCCGCAGCTCTTGCGGCGGCTCGATCCGGCGGGCGCCGGCACGTCCCGCCACGACGCGGCCTCCCCGAGCGTGTACACCTGCACCGCGTCGAACGACCCCGTCCACCGGTCGTCGACGGGGAAGGGCACGATCTTGTACAGCCCCGTCGTCGGGTGGTGCGCGAAGCTGTAGTACTCGTTGTGCTCCCATCTTCTCCACGGCGCGCCGATTCTGGTCGGCAGCGGGACGTGCAGCGCCTCGCCGGTGACGGGGTTGGACAAGACGAAGCCGCCGGTGGTGAACCCGGCGCCGGTGCCGACGACGCAGAGCAGGCCGTTGCACGTGCCGACGATGTTGGCGAGAGGGCAGGGGGACGGGATCTCCCTGCTGCTCCCTCCCGGCACGTCGTCGAACACGTACCCTGCGCCGTGCGCGACGACGAGCGTCTTGGCGGGGCCCGGCCTCGCCGGCGCGCGCGAGTCCACGGCGTCGCGCCACTGCCTGCAGACGAGGCGGGAGCGCCGCCGGTCGAGCGGCGGGAGGTGGCGCAGGATCTCGCCGAGGGTATCCGAGGGCATGTCCCAGCCGTTGTCGTCGCCGTCGCCGTCGTCCTGCATTATTGCCGCTGGTGTAGCGCCGCCTTGGCCCGTCGCCGTCGCCACGATCTCGAGTCGTTGAAGGGCCCCGCGAGATGCGCTCGCCGTTCGGTACGGTATTCAAAATCTTCCCGGGTTTGATTCAAATAGATAGATCTCTCTCCTGCTGGTAGTATTGTTTAGTTACGTAGTGGTCAAGCTAATATTGCCTAGAATTGTGTTCGGTTTTGGATTTTAGAGTTTTGAGTCTAGCATTCAAAACGCTACCACTACCAGTAGAATTTATGAATGTAGTAACAGGAGGAAGACTACGATATAACTTCCATATTCAAAACCGAAAATGTAAATCTAAAGTTAGAATATCTAACTAAAACACAAAGCATATGTTTTTGATCTCCAGAAAAGTGTTCTTTTGGCACATGTCAAAAACTTAAACTTATAATTATGAATCAAACAAACTCAAAACGAACCACAATCCCGTGACAATTTGCAGCCTTGCAATCTCACATTCTCACACGGTCACACCATCAGCCACGTGTCTACCAAGCCTGTATACACCCAACGGCTCAGATGTCTCCACCTAGGCGAATACCCGGATGTCCTGGCAGTGGCGGCCGATCTAGTATCGATTATCGAATGCAGTGGTACGCCTCGAGTCGAGTATGGTTCGAGCCATCTAGTATCGACTATGTTAATTAGTACTCTCTCTCCTTTTCTAAATGTTTAACGCCGTTGAATTTTTTAAACATGTTTGATCATTCATCTTATTCAAAAACTTTTGTGAAATATGTAAAACTATATGTATACATAAAAGTATATTTAACAATGAATCAAATGATAGAAAAAGAATTAACAATTACTTAAATTTTTTTAATAAGACGAACGGTTAAACATATTTAAAAGAGTTAACAGCTTCAAACATTTAGGGATAGAGAGAGTACTATGTTTGTACCTCGGTCAGCGGCGACGGCGAGCCGCCCGCGCACCTCCGTTGGCATCACCGAACGCGCCGGCAGCTCGGCTTGACAGCGGCGACGCGCTCGTACTTGAGGTCGAACGACATGGCCATCTCGGTGCCGTACGTTGGCGACCCAGTAGATGACGCCGTCGACGCTGGCGACGCCGCAGCCGCCGCGGCGGCTCGATCCGGCGCCACTCACCGCCACGTCTCGCCACGACGCGTCATCCACCAACATGAACACCCGCACCACGTCGAACACCCTTGACGGGGAAGTGCACGATCTTGTACCGCCCCGTCGACGCCGCCGGCAGGTAGCCGATCGATCGAAGCTGAACTTGCTGTGATCCCTCGCTATATATCCAGGGTAGACACCCGGGGCGGGGCACGGCGGCGGCGGGATGTCCAGCGTCGCGTCTCGCCGGTGACCGGGTTGCCCAAGACGGACGATGCCTCTAGTCTAGCTGTACCAGTGCCACGTGCAGAGCACGCCGTTGCACGTACGTGCCGACGGTGACGCCTGTGTTCAACTGTTCTGGCAGTCGTGCAGCACCTCCCTGCTGATCCCTCTCGTTAGGTCGTCGAAGAGGTAGATCCCTATCATCATCAACGACGACGAGCGTCTTGGCGCGGCACTTCGCCGCCGGCCGGCGCGCCGCTCGTCGATGGCGTCGCGCCATTGCCGGCAGACGAGGCGGAAGCGGCGGGACGCGCTGCAGGATCTCCACGTGGGCGTCCGCGGGTAGGTCGCCCCGGCTGACGGCGTCGTCCATTGAAACCGGTGTAGCGGCCTTGCCGCCGCCGTCGCCGTCGCGAAACTCCCGATCGATCTTCAGTTGTTGACGAGCTCGCGAGATGCACTCGCCGTTCGATACGGATTTGTAGTTGCAATTAGTTGACATGTAATTATCTGATATTAATTTGTTAGATACATATCGATCTTTTTATATTTCAGTTCGAAATAGCGTTTTTGAAATTAGGGCTGTTAATAATTCAAGCCTTCAAAACACGAGAATTTACATATTGTATTTGTACAACAGTATTGCAGATGATGGCTATTGTTTTGTTGTTATAAACACCAATGGCGAGCTTTTTGATGCATCAGGGCTCCAGAAAGACGATAGTAGGCGGCCGGAATACTATAAATTCAAAGTCAAAATCCAAAAATTAAACTAAGGTCCAAATTTGAATCTAAAACCGAAACACATCTCTCAGGTATGCCTACAAGTGGTAACATAAATTTGGCACACCGAACCAAAAAATTTTTAATTCGGTTTTGATTTTGAGCAATTTCTGTTGGCATTATGAGAAGAATCATTTTTTAGAAGGGGGAAAGTTCATTTTAAAATCTAGATCTTCTATGTGTCTGGAAATCAATCTTAAATTTTCAAAGGCAGGCATTGAGTGTAACTTATGCAAATGGTTTTTATTGAGTTTGTGCATTGAGAAATTCAGATGTAGGAAAAAACGAAAAAGAGGTTAAAATCCTTGTTCGATTCGAGCAACGGAAACAGGGATAAAGAGGAAAGTCATCTATACTAATTTAAAAGGTAGTAGTGCTGTCGGTGATATGGGCTCGGGGTACGCACAGTAGAGGGAAGCCGCCTTCTCGACTGGCTACGTGGCTGAGCGGCCTGGCTTTCCCCCACCTCCTCAGGGGAGGGGGCAGTCAGGTAGCACTGACGCGGCCAGGGGGCCTCGGGGGGCCACATCATGACCCTCGGGCCTTCAGCGTGCGCCACCCCGAGGCCCTCGCCCGGTCACCACGTGGCGGGGAGAGCAGGCGGAGCAAGAGACACTGCTCCGCGCGCCTTCAATGCACGATGCCACATTTAATGCGGTGTGGGGTGGGCGTGCGGCGCCGCTCGATTGACCGGTCTGTGACGACCGGTCTGTGACTGGTCGCAGACGATGGGACGGGTGGCAGTGCCCCCACGTTCCACTCTGTGTCAGATGGAGTGGGGGCAGATATGCCCCGTCCCATCAGCACGTTCCCAGGAGTGCCCTCCACGCGTGGTGAGTCACCAAAGTCTCTACGTGTTTAATGGCGAATGACAAGGATCTCCCTCGTGTCAGGCGGGGGACGGCGTTAGGCCCCACCCAAGGACGCACGACCACCTTGCTTCCGGTTGAAGGCATGTACGGTCGTCTGACCCAGGCAAGGTGGGTCCCCCTTTGTCACACCCCGAACTAGTACCGACTGGAACTAGCCCGTGACGCTCCAAATTAACCTGTTAATCGATACCAATCCCAAGATACAGTGCTGGTATCACAGGAAGACAGATATCACAGCAACAAAGGTCACTTAATTATAGAGTAGAGGTACAGTCATGTTGGGCTGCGGGCAGATCCCGAGCTCACAACTGCACTACAAAAGGGGAAACGGAAGCCAGGACTAGGACCAAACAACACAGGCGCGACTTGGGAACTAGGCCGAAACCCTAAAACTCATCGTAGCCGGCTTGCTCCTGGAAGAACTCCTCATCAGCAGGATCCGCTTCATCTTCTTCAGCAACTGGGGGGGGAATTATTTATATAGAGCAAGGGTGAGTACGGGAGTACTCAGCAAGCCATGGGAAATAAATGTTTAATGCAGGCTTCAAAGAAAGGCTGTTGTTTTTGCAATTGATTTTATTTGAACTCTTTTCTAAAAACAACTAAGTGAGTGCTTCTCAAACGACACGGATGAGACAGTACGTCTCGTCCGGTCGGAGTATGTGCAATGTATCAGTCTTTAGAATTGAATCAAGGTTGGCACCCGGTCAACAGCTTTTCAAACGGCCACCCGGGCCAACAACTTTCAAACGGCCACCCGGGCCTAGCTGATCCCATCAGATGCAGATTTTTCAAACATCGAACCCCTTTCCACAACAGCAATTTCACAAGCAGTAGTCAAACAAAACTACGCTAGGAATCACCTCACATCCGCCCATGACCGTGGGCACGGCTGTTCGAACAGTTTGTTAACCTCTGCAGAGGGGGTACACTTTACCCACACGACATTACTAACCCGGATCACCCAGCCCGTGGGGGATCAGCCACGTCGGGAGACCTCCAAGCTTTCATGACAAGGCATTTCCAAAGCCGACACAGGTTTACCATATGCCGACGAGAGGGGTCCCAGACCAACAACAGGTTAGGTCCCAGACCATACTGTGCCAGGAAGCCCAGGGGTCCTCCCCGACACCACCCCGGCGAATCCACATGTCTCTCGGCATCAAGGCTCCCCTGATAAGCTAGTTACTCAGCTAGGGGTGTCCCATTCCACCCATGTGGTCATACTTGTCTTATGTTCGGATGAAATTCCAAGGAAACGGTCCTTAGGTGCAAGAGCGGGAAACCGTACACCCGGTATGTTCCCCGGTCCGCGGTTTTGGAAATTCATTTAGTTCGCAAGCACCGACCCAGGTGTCGGGTTTTCCAAGTCTTTTGTAAAACCCAAGTTTTACCCAAGAAGTTACTCAGATTTTAAGTTTGAAGGCGACCGTCGGTACTCGCACAGAGTGCACGATTTCTGAGGCGCAACTGGGTGGTTACAAGGGAACATGGTATAACAATTAACAAAGGAAGGATCAAATACAACAAACTAGGTAGGTCCGCCAATCTGCCTTGCAGACGGGACAAACAGATTAAGTGCGATCCTATCAATGCGTAATATTTTTCAAGCAACATAATTAAATTCAAATATAGGCTCAAGATGTTCAAAGGTGGCTTGCCTTGCTCGAGATCTGGAGCTTGATCCTCGAAATCCTCGCACTGCGGGTCTTCGGGCTCCGAAACTACACGCGAAACGGGACAACTCAACAAATGGCGAAAATAAAGCCCTATTAAAGACCTCTAAGCGTGCCATTAGATAGATCTCGAGATTTGAGGAATTTTGGAAGTTGAACGGAGTCAAACGGATTTACGGTTGGGAAGATATTGAATTTCTAAGATTATAGGATTTTTGGGTCTAAAGGAAAAGGATTTAATTAAATCCTCTTTGAAAAAGAAAAGAAAAGAAAAGAAAAGAAAAGAGGGAGGGAAAATAGACTTTTCCTCGGGCGGCTAGGGCGCGGCCCGAGAGAAATGGAGCGGTCCGGCCGAGCTAAATGGGCCGGCCGGCCCAAGGCGCGCGCGCGCGGGAGGGGAGGAGAGAGAGAGCCGGTGGACCGGGCTCACCACGCGTGGTCCTGGGTGGGACCCGCTTGTCGGTGACACGGTTCACCATGCGGAGCGAGCATGCGGCGCACGCGCGCGGGCGGGGGAGGGACGCGGTGCACGCGCGTGGTTCGCGGTGGAACGGATGCGGCGGGCCCACGCGCAGCCTCACGGCTCGCGGTCGAACGCGCGCACGGGAGGGGCTGACCGGGGTCGGCCCGACCCGATCTCGGCCGAGCTGGCGCCGACGTGGCGCCTACGTGGCTGCCACGCGGGCTGGCGGGAGGTAGACAACGACGCCGGCCGGAACGGACGGCGGACGACAGCGACGAGCGGCGGAGCGAACCACGGCGATACAGGCGAAAGCGAGCACACCGGGTGGTTGCTCAGGACGAGGGGAGACGAGCCAACGGCTCGGATTCGCCGGAGGGAGCTTGACGGCGGCGAATTGCGGCGGCGGCAACCGGCGGGGAGGGAAGAGGGAAAAGGCGACGAGGTCACGAGGGGCCAATTCCCGGCGGTGAGAGCATCTACGCGGCTACAGGAATCCGTTGCTTGCGTTGGATTGGGCGGAGCTACGCCGAGCGAGGCCGGCGACGAGCGGGTGCTACGGAGCACGGGCGGCGACGGCGGCGAGCACACGGCGAGCGGCGGCAACGGTCGGGGCGGCGCCGGCTAGCTACGGGGAGGCTACTCGTGCTACTACCCGAGTCTAAGGGGAGGAGATGGAACGAGGAGGAAGAACGGAGGGAGGCACTACCGAGATGAGGTGGGGCGCTGTGACGAGAGACCGACGGCGCGGGAGTAATCTCTCCGGCCTCGGGCCGGGGAAGAGGAAGGAGAGGGCGCGCCCGAAGTCCCCTTCCGCGTCCTCGCTCATGCCGGCTCCTCCGACACGCGCAACGACGAACGGCGACGGCGAAATAGAGGGGCGGCAACAATGGAGTGGAGGCGATGGGACAACGAGAGGAGGAGAGAGGGAGGGCGCCTGGGCTTTAAAGGGCGGCAATGTCGGTTTGGAAACCGACTTTGGACGGTCAAGGCGCGAGCTGGCGCTCCGGCTAGCGGCCAAATCGGCGACAGAGCGGAGGGAGGATGACGCCGGCGGGAGGAAAAAGGGGAAAAGGAGGGAGAGATTCGGCCCATCGACCCCGGGGAGGCAAAATAGACTTTTGCGGAGGAATTGATTTGGGAAGGATTTGGATTCGGGATTGAACTCGACGATAGATCGGGATTTGAGATCTGAGATGGCACGGACACTAGACAACAAGCAAAGAAACAAATTTCGTAATTAGGGTTTTTAAGAGATAATTTTCCCGCTAGGCGCCACGACGGAACGGGCGCTACACCCTTCCACGGAGGGGTAGGTATAGACGGCGCATGTGGTATCCCCTTGAACTATAAAAGGAGGACCTCGCCCACTGAAAAAAGAGACGACTCTCAGACAACTTGAGCTCAGGAGGAAGAACAGCTGGGTTTCCCTTAGAGCCCAAAACATCTTGTAAAAGTTAACCATAATCCGACCTTTAGTCTTTTGATTAGAGTAGAGGTCACGAGAGAGCAGAGGCACATGAGTAAGATATTACGCTCGATAGCGGCCCGAACCTGTATAATCCCTTGTCTTTCACAGATACTAGTTAGCGATCTAGCGGCTAGACTGCAAGTGAAAGTGCGCTCTTGATCATCGTGCCATCTTCCCCGGCCGAACTCACAAGGAGGGTCTCACGACCACCCGCTAGAGAGGATCTCTCCTCGACAAGTGCCGTGACAATGAATTTGCCACTATCACTAATGTGTGGCAAACTCCTTGTCGGTGAAAACCACGTGCTCACTAAATTCAAACATCCCAAAAGAACCATATCTAAGCAAAATAACGACAAAATTTTTTTTGGGTAAGATCTGATAAATATGTAAGAAATTAATTCATATAGTTAAAGGGATTGGAAAATGCCAATATGTATATTCTTCAAAGGATGAGCGTGCACACCATAACTTTTTTTTTAACCGTTGCAATGCAGGCAATTTGCTAGTTAAAATAAATCAGCTTAAACATAAAACATCCATACAGACATACACACACAGCTCTGCATAGCAATATAGCATATGAGGCCATGAGGGTGAATTCATCGTCGTCATCGGTCATCCCCGGAGGCTGAACACGCTGACCGGCTCGGTGGTCTCGACGTAGGCGAAGGTCCGGAGATCCCGGCGGTAACAAGCGCCGAACGAGCCCACCACCTTCCCCGGCCGCCGCTCGTTGATCCTCACCGCGCTGCACTGCAGCCGCCGCCTCCCGTCGTCGCTCAGCCGGTGCGCGTACAAGAACCCCCGGATGCTACAGTGCGTCGACGTCGTCAGGACGTGCTCGCCGTGGGCGAAGTGCGGCCACGCCAGCTGCTGCTCCACGCCGTGCACCCGCACGCTGTACCGCCGGCTCCACCGCCGCTCGCCGCCGCCGCCTCCTCCTCCTTCGAGCACCCACACGTCGGTGTCGGTGCTCGTCGCCATGCTGACGCTGACGGCGACGCCGAGCCTGCCGCGCACGTCCGTCAGCTTGCAGGTGCAGCCCGGCCCCGCCGTGCGCGCCGGGAGCAGCGGCGTGACGGCGGCGACGCGCTCGTCGTCGCCGAGGTCCAGCGACATGACCCTCTCGGTGTCCCTGGTGATCCAGTACGTGGAGCCGTCTACGCTGACGACGCCGCAGCTGCCGCGGCGGCTCGATCCGCCGGCGGGCATCGGCACGTCTCGCCACGACGTCGACGCGTCCTCCTCCGCCCCGAGCGTGAGCACGCGCACCGCGTCGAACGTCTCGGTCCGTCTGTCCTGGATGGGGAAGTGCACGATCTTGTACCTCCCCGTCGTCGGGTGGTAGCCGAAGGCGTACGCCGCGTGCGTCGGCTGGTAGAAGGGTGGCTCCTCGCCGCGCGGACACGGCGGCGGCGGGACGCCGGCGCCGTCCACCCTCTCGCCGGTGAACGGGTTCACCAGGGCGAAGCCCCTGGACCACTCGCACAGGAATACCAGCCCGTTGCACGTGCCGACGATGTCGACGCCGCGGCAGTTGGGCAGCAGCTGCCGGCGCCGCCCCTCCGGCAGGTCGTCGAACACGTGCGCGACGGCGTGGACCAGGACGAGCGCCTTGGCGCGGCTCCGCATCTCCGGCGTGCGGTCGTCGACGAGGTCGCGCCAGTGCCGGCACACGAGGCGGCACCGCCGCCGCGAGCTCGGCGGGAGGCGCACCAGGATCTCCACGACGGCGTCCGAGGGGATGTGCCCGATGCCTGCGGCCGCCATTGCGCGCCGTGCGGCTGAGGCTTCGCTGCTGCGTTACACTGGAATTGTGAAATCATCCGGTTTATTTGTAAGTTATAAACGTGTGGTTGGATTTCAACGATTACTTCTCTACTTGGTATTCAAGTTTGCTAGGATCCCATGAATCCGCCACACAAATCTCGGTTATTAACAGCAGCTAATTTCTTCAGACCCTGTCAGGTTATTGTTTTAAGGAAAAAGTCCGAATTACACCACTGAACTACAAAACCCGAGATGTAAAACCAGGCAGATAACCCTCTAATTCGATCCATAATAGTTTTGGTACAGCGAGACAATCCAATCAACATAAAAAAATAGAAAATTCGGAGAGCACATATGTCAAAGAGGCCTTCTTCCTCAATCCCTTCTCTTCTTCTATCTTCCCTGACGTGCCTGAAATGTGTGTCGACGGTCAGCCCGTCGAGCTCGCCAGCCAGGACGCCTCCTCATCCTCGATACAACAACCGCACTATCGCTTTCCCGCCACATGTACTCGCCCGACCACATCTCCCCCGTCAACCTTTAGGCTATTGGCTCCAATTTCCCCCAAATTATTATGTAACACCCAAATCTTTGTCAAAGTTTGGCATCCGCCGATGAGGCGCACCATGGCCTCGGGAGTCCAAGACTGAATTAGAGTGCGATGTTGTCCTCGTGTGAGCGCATGGAGGATGGCTGCGAGCGAGCTCATTTGTGAGGAAGTCATTGCTTGGGACCTCATCACCGAAGGGGGAGGGGAGGAATGGAAAGGGGGCAAGGAGATTGCGGGATCGATGAGGAGGCAGTCCAAGCGAAGGAGATCTAGCATGTGGAGGTGATCGAGGCGATGGCCTTAGTGTGGACACCAGAGGGAGGCGGGGCCGACCAGTGCGTTGCGGGCTGTGTGCGTAGAGGGCCACCGTGTGGTTGTCCTGCTGCGGTAGGTGGCCCAAAGGAATAGGGGAGCTTGTCTAGGAGGAGGCATGTGGAGGTGACGGTCAGCGGCGTGCTTGCTGTGTAGATTTCAAACGTGACAACAGACGATGTGCGATTCAACCATGGTAGGGAGAACATAGGGGCTAGGGAGAAGGGCTATATGAAATATGGGCCCTTTATTTTCATTTTTTTAGTGCTGATTAGGCTACCACGCATGCGCCACTTAACCACTCCAAATTTTGTTAGGGGTGTTATTCGTCCGATTTAAAGAGTTTGAGGGTGTCAAATATCCAATTTTATGTGTAGGGTGTAATTTGTACCATCATGATAGTTTAGGAAGGTCATTATTCGGACTTTTTTCTTGTTTAAACTAGATGAAAACCTGTAATTTTTGCAAACCAACCTGTATTTTTTTCAAACCAGGCCAAGTCATTGCTTCATTAAACTGGATGAAACCTCTATTCTATGAGTGTTACTAAAAAAGTGCATGAAAAAAAATACTAAACGTGAAGATATAACTAGTGGATTCGTTTCGGTGGTTTTTTTTATATATATTACATAATGGATAAAACGACCTTTACTTATAAGGAATACAAGCCTACATCCCTATTAAACTATTAAACCTAATATAAAGCATATTCTCATACTTTCTGGTTTGTGAGTTAGCACTCAGTACCAATGAGCCAACTCCTAAATAATTGTGAGAAATTATTTGGGAGAAATAGGTAGGTGGCTCAGCTACGTGGTTTTATACAAATATACTATTATGCAAAGGCTCGTCACATAATAGAAGTAGTAGTAGTAGTAACAAACTGGATTATTTAGTTGCTTAGTAGGTGAAATTGTATAAAAGTTTCAATTGATACTTATATAAGCTCTCTCTCTAAAATAGAAAAAACATATAAAAGAATTAACAAACTATAGTTCTTTAAGCAGGTTAAATGGTACTCCCTCCATCCCCAAAGGTTACACCTATTTCACATTTTAGTTTTTCCAAATAAGTTATTTTTATTTGTAGTCTTTATGCATTCAAGACTTAAATAAAGAGATAAATTAAATGTTTGATTAGAACTCAAGGAGTCATCTAAATACTCATTGGTTGCATGCTTCCATTCACTCCTTGATTTTGTAACATCTAAGATGATTTAATTTTTTCTTGGTCTGGTGACACAGTATCCCTTCTTGTTCGGACATACCGAAAGTACTCCGGTAGACAATCCGTCACTTAAAACGATTGGTTCGCCGTTTTCTTCGCCTGGCAACCGGGCGCTTGGGGTGAGGACTTGGGAGGTCATTGAACATGGAGGTTAGCATTTGCCCTAGAGATGTCGTCTTACCTGCATAAACAAAAAATTGTCCACATCACTATATCACACAAACCAAGAAGAACTGATAACAGATGGAAAATAAAGCACATCTAAATTAGGTGAGAAGGGTGAATATCTCATCCCTCATGTTTATTTAACAACTCTCATTTTATGCTTTTCTTCCTAAACTCTGTCTCATAAACTTATTCTTGTAACTTTCTTACAGGACAATCCGCCTACCACTGTCAATTAATGTTTCTAATATGTAATCCTTCCGACTCTATAATTCTTCGACCTTTTTCAAAATAAAGTTAAGATCAAACAATTAAAACTTTAACTATTAATACTTTTTAAATATTTAACTTGAAGACACTAGAACAGGACATGCACACTAGTCTTAAAAAGCATTACAATAAAGTTAAACATTTAGTTTTTTTAAAAAATATATATATTATAATAAAGGAAAAATTTGCTACGTGACACTTAAAAAATGTGTAATTAGTTGTGGGACACCGCAAAGATGTGAATTTGTTGGATGACACTTCAAAAGTGTGGTAATTTGCTACAGTACACTGGAAGCATGAAATATAATATCCACACAATTGATAAGAGAGAAACACACAAAGTGACAGTTTTGCCCTTATTATCTTACCCCACTCATGGTGGGTGGGTGAGAGGGTAGGGTAAGATAATAAGGGTAAAACTGTCATTTTGTATAGTTTGTTTCCCATCAATTGTGTGGATATTATATTTTAATGCTTTCAGTGTCCTGCAGCAAATTACCACACTTTTAAAGTGTCCTCCAGCAAATTCACATCTTTGCGGTGTCCTACAGCTAATTACACATTTTTTGAGTGTCCCGTAGCAAATTTTGCCTATAATAAAAACCCACAGTAAAATACATGTTTGAATATTATGTTGTTGTCTAAAACGTAAAAACTTATAGAACCAAAGAGACATAGGTCATACCTGTAGCCATCTCCTCATCGTTATTAACCACACTTCCAATCTTAGATCCACCATTGCATTGGTATACGTTCAATGGCTCCGTAGTCTCGATGTAGGAGAAGGCCCGAATATTACTTGCATGACCACACGTGAACATGGGTTCATGGTAAGGCCAGTGCTCGTGTATCTGCGCTACACTGCACTGTGGCCTTGTCGCACTGCTCACGCACCGATGCACATACAAGGATCCATGGCGATGGGCCAAGATATGTTCGCCCTGGGTAAAGTGTGGCCCTACAACTTGTTGCACCTCCATGCACAGTCGCGTAGTCAAGTAGAACCGGCAATACCACCTCTCCAAGCTTTCACATCCATCACGCTCCAGTAACCACATCTCCTGCTCCAACGTATGTAATGAAACATAGGTTAAAATAGAAAAAAAAGTTGGTTATATATATATATATATACTCCCTTCATCCATAAAAGAGTGTTTTTTTTAGCCTTTGAATATATCCAACAGAAAATATATTTTTAGCTATGGGATTCATTAAATCTCTTAATATTTTTCTTTTTGTTTTAGCCATCCAATGATCCAACCATTGTTACTCCCTTCTCCTCCTTTTTTCCCCTCTCGTTTTCTTTCCACATTAATGGATGGTATAGTACTCCCTCCATTTTCTTTGCACTATTGTTACTCCCTCCGTTTCATATTACATGGATGGTATAGGAAAAAAGTCAAACGACTTATAATATGAAACGGAGGGAGTAGGTTTTTATCCTCTTTCTTCATATGCCTTTAACTTTCTAAAACAACAGTCTTTTTGAATGGAGGGAGTACATGCATGAGTGATTTGGTATACATGAGCCGGGGAATTATGAGTATTTAAGGATATAGTTTGGTCAAAGTTATTAATGTTGGAAGGGAATCTTGTCCATGCATCAATATTTTGGTCCCAAAATAAATTCATATTCTAACCATCTCACGCATACCAATAATATAAAATAAAAAGACTACAATATATTTATTTATCATATGATCATATCCCAATGCAAAAGTCTCACACTTTCTCTATTTTCAACGCAATTATTTCTCATTTTCTCTACTCTCAATACATTTATCTTCTCCTTCCACAAACACCAATACAATAACTGTTTAAAAATAAACTTATTTTGGGATAAATAAGAGGGGATAAAAATGATCTTAGACCCTATTTAGTTCGTGAAAAGAAAATTTTTGGGTGTCACATCGGATGTTTGATCGGATTTCGGAAGTGGTTTTCAGGCACGAATAGAAAAACTAATATCATAACACACCTAGAAACCGCGAGACAAGCTTTTGAGCCTAATTAAGCCGTCATTAGCACATGTGAGTTACTGTAGCACTTATGGCTAATCATGGACTAATTAGGCTCAAAAGATTCATCTCGCAACAATTATGACTAATCATGTATTACTTAGGCTCAAAAGATTCATCTCGCGATTTCTATACAAACTATATAATTATTAGTTTTTATTTTTATCTATATTTAATGCTCAATATAAGTGTCCAAAAATTCGATGTGATGTTTTTGGAAAAAAAAGATTTGGAAACTAAACCAGACCTTATTTTAAAATGAAGAGAAGTAATTTATGATAGGAGAGAGAGTAATATACATACATCGATTTCGGTGTTGTTTTGATAGTCGTGATGGATACGGTTGCCCACGCACAGCCTCCCACGCGCCTTCCTCAAGCAACCGGCGTTCAAGTTCTTGGCCGCCACCGGCAGCGACGTGATCGTCGCGACACGCTCATCCGTGAGGTCAAACGACATGAGCCTGTCGCCGCCGCCGTGGTTGATCCAGTACGTGGCTTGGCCGTCGCTGACGACGCCGGCCGGCAGCCAGCAGCTCGATCCGGCGGGCGCCGCCACCCTCCGCCACGACGGCGACGGCGCGCCGTCCACGAGCGTGAGCACCTCCACCGCCTCCAGCCGCCCGTCGCTGACGGCGAGGTGCACGATCTTGTACCTCTCCGTCGCCTCGTGGTACGTGAAGCTGAACGCCTCGCCGTACGGGACGTGGCCGTACGGCTCCTGGCGCCTGAGCCGGTGGCCCGGCGGCCCGGCGACGTCCAGCGTCTCGCCGGTGACCGGGTTGAGCAGCGCGATGTCGCCGGTGACCCCCTCGTCGTACAGGCAGAGCAGGCCGTTGCAGCTGCCGATCATCCTCAGGCGGGAGTAGATGGCCGGAAGACTCGGGTCGGCGGCGGCGTCCCATAGCTTCCGGTAGCACCCTTCGTCGTCCTCCTCCAGGCCGTCGATGGCGTACGCGGCGGTGGCTGGACCGGGGCGATGGTAGACGAAGGCGAGCGTCTTCGCGTGGCCCCGCCACACCGGCGCGCGGGAGTTGATGACGTTGCGCCAGCGCCGGCAGACGAGGCGGAGGCGGCGGCGCGCGCTCGGCGCGACGCGCCGCAGGATCTCCACGAAGGCATCCGTGTGCAGGTCCCCGATACTGGTCTCCTGCTCCTCCATCTCGTCGACGCCTTCGCCCTTGGGTGATTTGCAGTGGGAAAAATCACGTACTTAATTATGCCTGGATCATCTGGGGGGTCAGGAGGATACCTATGCGTATGGATCTAGGATCCCCAATAAACGGGGTTGAGAAGAGTGAAAAAACGACTCTCGACCCTTGTTCTGGATGTGTAGTAACGATGACGGTTACATGGAACGAAAAGCTCGTAGTACGTTGCAACGTGTGTGAGGTCTTTATTTAGGATTCAATATTTGAATACCCGTGAGTACGAAAAGATCTTACTAGCAAAAATACCCAGTAGATTGCAACAGGAAAAGATTATTAGGACTCAATATTTGGATATGGGTTATTTGAGAAAACATAAAAGTTTAGGGATTCAACAAAAATATCTATTAATGTATTTTTCCGTGCACATATGAGGCAAAAATAATCATAAAGTGCAACACAAGCTAAAAGAGATCGTTGCAACTATATGAATTTTGAAATCACGAGGAAAATAAAACTAAGGTTGAAAAAAAAGGGTTGTGCCACTTGGGTTCTCACCATGTCAGTATAAAATATGGATAGTCTCGGAAGATATCGTGCAAGTATCATTTTCGATTGGTTCCAGTTGATACTCGTTGGTATTAAACCTAATACCTCATCAGGTATCAGTATCAGATCTGAAACCCGTCGGCACCAACTGCTAACCATAGGTACCAGCCGATACCCATCGGTAACAAACTGATACCCTCGGTACCAAATCCCCTTTTCTGGCGAACTCTGAGCATCGGTCACCGAGAAGGTACTTAGCAAGTGGTTGTGGTGTTTGTTGTTTCTTTTCCTGGTTATAACCTCCCAGGGTTATAATCATATAATTTTCTCTGGCTATATCAATATGAAACTTCACAGTCTCATGTTAGTCGTTTTTTTAAAAAAAACAAAGAATACTTTGATAAAAAAAACCACAAAAAATAGAAACCAGAGCATGGGCTGCTTTATCCACCGTGAGTGTTGCTAAGCTAGGATGAATCTTCGACAAAGAAGAATTTTGAATTTATACGCGAGAAATGAAACTTTAGATTGGAGCGAAACTCTAAGATAAATAGATCGGTAAATAGTTTTTCTTAATTATATCATATTATATATTGTTGCTACATTGTTGAATTTATAATATGTGCGAAATTACCACTATTAATTGCTCATTCAGATCCCCGACGATAGAACGTGAAAAATAAATTCAAAATTAGTGGAAAAAATTGAAATGGCATGAAATCATCATAGGCGAGTAACAATTATGTTTGTTAGCTACATGTGAAAATCATCTTTATAGGCAAGCCACACAAAGCAACCGTATTAGAAGATTCATTTTTCACAGGCAGCTAGCTTGTTCGTCACATATGTACTCCGGTTATCCGGTATGATTCGCCTCCTCCTCGGTGCAAGATCAGGGAGGCGGGGTTCCAGAAACGGTTCGATTCAGAGTTTGTATATGTTTATCTCATGGTGAGTAAAGCCGTGTACGTTAACACAATGAGTAACAAGCCGATTGATTCAAGTTTATAGAAAAAATAGTAACATTTTCGACCCAAGACAAATTTATTATGAAAATATATTCAATTATTGATTTGATGAAACTAATTTAGTATTATAAATATTACTATATTTGTCTATAAACTTAGTCAAATTTAGAGTAGTTTAATTTTAACTAAAGTGAAAACGTCTTATAGAGTGAGTACTATTTAGATGCATGCAGATGGTTAATTTGGTTACACATGCAGCCTTTGTCGTTTTGACAGATCGTGGATATTCAACTGCTCCGTGGTCTCGACGTAGGAGAATGTCTGTACACAACGTACCCGTCGACAGCGAGGCGTCTGTGGTGACTTCGTCAATCTCAAGATATGCCGGCCCAGTCTTCCGGAGGTGCTCATAGGGGTAGGGTGTGCGTGTGTGCGTTCATAGGGGTGAGTTTGCGCACGTTGTGAGCGCCTGCGTTTGTACTGTGTTTCTAAAAAAAACCTCCTGCACGGATCGATGCACACCACGCTGCACTGGCACTGCGCCCTCCTCGCGCCGCCGCCGCTTACGCACCACGGGGGCGAGTCCCCGAATAGCTTGGTCACGACGTGCTCGCCGTGGCCATGGCCATGGCCAAAGCGTAGCCCCACGAGATCATGCGGCCCCACCCGGCGAGGCACTCTGAACCGGCGGCGCCATCGCCATCTCGTCTTCTTCCTGCCGCCGCCGCGCTCCAGCACCCACATCTCAAGCCCACACCAGCCGGAGGCGTACGCGACGATCCCCACCATCCCGCCGCCGCCGCTCACCTCCTTCAGGCAGTTGACGGCGAGCCAGTCCGGCGCCGGCGACGGTAGTGGCGTGGCGCGTCCGAATCGCTCGTCCGTAAGGTCGAACGACATGAGCATGTTCGTGTCCTTGGAGATCAGTACGTGGCGCCGCCGACGTTGGCGATGCCTGAGTAGAGGCTACAGCTCGTTCCGGCGGGGGCCGGCACGTTCCGCCATGAAGCGGCGCCCTCCCCGATGGTGAGCACCTGCGCGCGCGGCTAGGGAGATAGGGAGGCGGCGGAGGTGCACGATCTTGTACTGCCCCGTCTTCTCCTGGTACACGAAGCTGAGCGCCGCGGGGTCCAGCCTGTTGCCTGCAGGCCCGCGGATGTGCAGCGGCGTCTCGCCGGTGACCGGGTTGAGCACGACGATGTCGCCGGCGAGCTCTTCGTACAGGCAGAGCAGGCCATTGAGTGTGCCGACCATCCTGAACCTGAAGCGGCGGTCCGGGCCGGTTTGCGGCGGCGGCGGCGGCGCTGCTGCTGCTCCATAGCTCCCTGCAGCGGCGCCCTTCAACCAGGTCGTCGTCGTCGTCCAGGACGTACGCGGCGGCGCCGGCCGGGCGGCTGACGTAGACTAGCGTCTTGGCGCGGCTCCGCCGCTCTGGCGTGCGGTCGTCGACGACGTCGCGCCAGTGACGGCAGACGAGGCGGAGACGCCGCCGCGCGCTCGCCGGGATGCGCACAAGGATTTCCTCCAATGCGTCGGCGGGTAACTCCCCGAAACCGGCCGCCTCCTCCTCCTCCTCCATCGATCGCGGTTGCGTGCAGCTTCCCCATCCCCAACGCCCGCGGTGGTGCGCCCCTCTGTGCGTCGGCGGCATTGCAATTTTTTTTTTTGGTGATTTCCGAGTTAACAAATCGCGTAGATATAGAGGGACGTGGTCGAATTCGAATGCAACAGGGTCGGATAGTTTCCTATTTGGACATGCATGCAACGGCCAGCCCATGCTTCATATGGAATGAGTACATATGCCGTCGTATTTTTCATGTAAAAATAGTAATGTAAGTATCAAAAATTACATATAAGTTTTATATGATTTTAATATATTTATAAGGTATCCAAAATTACATATGTAATTTTAATGTATTTACATTGTATAAAAAATCATGTTGTAAATTTAAATTTTACATTGGGAAAATAAAAAAGCAAAAGGGTGCAAGGAGGACGAGAAGAAAAACGAATTCTACTAATTAAGTAGATGGTTCATAACTAATCACAATACGTAACTTGATTAGAGGTAGTTTGTTACGCACGTACTACACGAATCTCAACGGAGCATCTATGTCCTTAAAAAATGATTATGATTAGGAACAAAATATGTCATCACAAGTTTAGCAAATCCGATGGAATAAACACGGATTGAAACCCACAGACTGAAATCACAGGTATATTGCTATTGTTATATACACACATTTACATACCACATCAATAAGAAATTTAGCACAGTTGGTGATGGTTCTACTGTTCTTATATCACTTGAAAAATGGAAACAGACACTTCAACAGAGAAAACGATCGAACTCTGCTCTCGATACGCTATTTATAAATCTCGAGTGGTTCTGAAGTCTCCATGTAGGCGAAGGTACTGATCCCGGTGTGGTCAGCGACGCCGTAGTTCATGATCTCCACTCCCGGCTTCTTCTTCCATATCTTCACCATGCTGCACTGCGAGCTCCTCTTGTCGCTCACCTTGTGCTTGTGCAGGTTATACTCCTTGAACACCTGCGCCACTGTTAGGACATTCTCCCCGTGTGCAAACAGCGGCCACATCACGTGCTGCTTGGGCGTTTCTAGCATTATGTTGTATCTGCGAGTCCACCGTTGATCTCTTGTGCTCTCCATCCACCACACCTGATCAAGGAAAATATATGCAACAACAACTTCAGTTCATAAATTTTTATAGCTAATGTAATTAAACGAGTATTTTTGCTTGAATTCTTGTGGATTTTGAACTAGTTTAGTTCCAAATTAACGAGTGCTGGTAAGTTTGATGTGGATATATATATACCTCCACCCTTTTAGTTGGCTTCTCCGTCTCTTCCACGGTGACCGCGACGCAGAGCCTCCCGCGCATCTCCGTCAGGCGGTAGCTGCACCTGCACCCGCGCCCCGGCGTCTCCGGCGACCACTTGACGGGCGCGACGCGGTTGTCCTTGAGATCGAGCGACATGATCGCCGCCGGCGTCCCGGCGGTGATCCAGTACGCCACGCCGTCGACGCAGGCGACCCCTCCCGGCTGGAAACGGCCGCTGGCGCCTGGGGTAGGCACGCTCCGCCACGACGGCGGCGCGCCGCGCCCGCCGCGGCCGAGGGTGTACACCTGCACGGCGTCGAACGTGCCGGACTTGTTGAAGTAGCACGGGACGTGCACGACGGCGTACCGCAGCGTCGCCGGGTGGAACGCGAACCCGTACGCCTCGTGCGTGCGCGCGTCCGGGAAGCACGGCAGGAGCCCCGCCTGGCGCGGCGGCGGCGGCGGCACGGACAGCGACTCGCGCGTCGCCGGGTTGGCCACCGTGACGGCGCCCGTGCCGCCGTCCAGGACGCAGATGAGGCCGTTGCGGGTGCCGATCACGTCGACGGAGCAGGAGCTGGTCCACACGCGCCTGTGCCGGCCCCGCGCCTCGTCGACGACGTAGGCCGACGCCTCGTTGTCGAGGCCCTTGACGAATGTGAGCATCTTGGTCCGGACGTCGCGCTCCGGCGTGCGCTTGTCGATGGTGTCGCGCCACCGCCGGCACACGAGCCGGCAAAGCCGCCGGGAGCTCGTCGGGAGCTGCGACAGGATGTCCACCAGAACGTCCGTCGGAAAATCGACGACGCCCACGTTCTCCATTGCCGGGGCTTTCCTCGGCGGCATCGTTGTCCTTACCATGATGCGTTCGAGCTACCGCTGCACGTTGAAGCTGGTGGTTTCTTTCCGCTCTTTTATGGGCTCATGCGGTCCGAGTTCTACTTCTATTCGGACTTGCGGACCAATGTTACCGATTCGGACCGCTAGCAAGCAAATATACTTGGGCTTTAATGGTCTGGGCCTTAAAGGATAACTTTGGGCCGATCAAGCGAGTATAAGTCGATTTTTTTTTTATTTTTAACTTTTTAAAAAAATAATTTTAAAAAATCCGTTTCAAAAATTTGCAAATCTAGAGGCCTACGCCTTTCTAACAAAGAGGATTAAGGGATCTAAATATAAATTTTCCAGGATAACTTATTAATCCTATGATTTTGTGGATTAAAAATAATATTAAGTCAAATGAAATCAAACTTTATATAAAAATGATAAAGCTCGAGGAGATATACAACATTGTACTCCCTCCATTTCAAAATAAGTGCAGCCGTGTAGTTCATCTAATTTGGGACGGAGGAAGTAATTATTAATTTTTCATTTAAGATTGTTTAGATGTCCAAATATTTGTTACAAAATATAAACCTACTTTAACAAAATCTCACATATTCATCTCAAACAACGTTGGATGAAAATAAACTTTATATGAAAGTTATAGATCTCATCGAGGCCTAAAACTTTGTGGTTTATCCGTTCAAAATCATTTAGATTGTCAAATAAGCATTACTATTTTTTTAAACAATTAAAACCGACGAAAATGATTTGAATACAAATAAAAAATTAACATTTTGGTCCCTTAACACTCTTTGGAGGGGCGAGTTTAAAAAAAATCCTAGCGTGAGGTGTCTGGATTCGTAAATTTTAGGAAAAAAATACTTTTTAAAATATTTTAATAAAAATATAAAATAAAAAAATCGTATAAGTCGATTTAAATCGGCCCTAACAATTTGAGTATCCGAATTGATCCGCAAAACGCAAACTGAAATTGTTCACGAGCTATTTCTTATTAGGCCTGGAAGACAACAAATCTGCTCCAATCTCCACACAAAATTTTAAACCGGCCTACCAAAATATATAGAGAATATTCTTCAGTAGGCCTACCATAGCTTGGGCGATTTGGCCTGCTTCTTGGAGATAATAAGAGCCTATGTTCGCCATAGGATCTCTCAACCTCAGCCCATTAAACTTTGGACCTTGCAGATTGGTTCACGGCGAATTTCCACGAAGAAAGAAGTCCACTTTACTTCAACTATGTTTCAGGTTTCATTCTAATCCTAATAAAACTAGATATTAAAGTCTCTTGGCAATATTAAGAACAGTTTCGGCTCACGTGACGTCAAAGTGACTTGTTGGCTTGATATTCATCCCATGTGATGCCTACATGATAGTAGAAGCAAAAAAATATAGAAAACAATAATAACACCAATAGGACCCGTATGTCAGTGGCGTCCCATGTGTCCGTGGATATATAGTTTTTATTTTAATAAGTAAAAAAAATCTCCCATCTTCTCTCCCCTAGAAGAGAAAAAAATTGTGAACCAAGTAGTACTATCGTCATGTATCATGTATGTCATGAAACCATGGTTATATATACGTATGCTTTCGAAAGAGAGGTGGCCCCATATCAAAATATGCCATAGGGAAGGGCGGAAGGCTATTGGAAGATCTAGAATACAGTGTTGTCCTTAGTTAAGTTTGGATGATTAGATTTGGATTCGACCTTTGTGTGGGAGAAATTAAATGTATCTTCGTTTGTTTCTTCCATTGTACTTACTCGACAACGAAAATTTTCCATTCTACCAGACAAGAAAAGGCTTTGTTTGCCCATGGTTACCAACCGAAACATTCTCTCAACTCTTAAGCCTATTAATATGTCCCAAAAAGACAACTCCTAACTATATGTCTAAATTTAGATTTATAGTTAGAATTAGGTATATTTAGAAATAGGCATTTTTTGACGGGTACGGTATGCTGTAACATAAAAAAAAAAGTCAAGAGAGCCCCACACTGATCCACGTGCAGGGACGGATTCAACATGGGTGCAAGGGGACTTACTCAAGTCCCCCCTATACCCACCGAACCCATGGATAACCCCATGGTCCCTCCTTTATTTTTTTTTCTATGTTGATAAGAAAAAAAATATTAAAGATCTCTTAATAATATTTTAGCATAGTTTAATACTAAGATGATGTGTTTATACCGATGTACTCGGTATATTGAGTCCTCCAATTACTTGTTCCTGGATCCAATCCGCCCGTCTACGTGCTCGGCCTTCTGTTCCTCGCGCTACAGTGTCATCGGTGACACCAGGCACGGCGAAACGCCGAGCTGTCCGCCCCGGACGCTGCTCCAGCCTCCAGCTATCGGACGCACCAGGCAGCCCACACGTAGCTCGCCACGCGGCGGGCGGTGGCACTCCACCCAGGCACCCAGCCCCACCACTCCGTGCCAGTTCATCGCCCGCGCACCTGCGCGCGCGGCTGCACCCGCACCACGCCGTACGTCCCCCGCGGCGTCCGCGCGCGCTCCCCGATGCAGGTGCAGGCATCACGCGCGGTGCGGCGCGACGCGGCCGACGTCCGCCAGCCGCTCACGGCCCACAAGTTTTTTCACAGCCGCAGCGCAGCGGGATCCATCCACCGAGGGCTAGTGGCGCACGAGACGCGCACATCGCTGTACCGCCTGGGCGGTGTCACGCTCACGCGCGCCCACGCCCACGCCGGCTTCACGTGACTTCGTCCGTATGCTACTGCAGTATAGGAGGAGGAGGAGGAGGAGGAGTTGTATAGCGTCGCGTCTGTTTCTCGGTTGGCGCCTTGTGGCTCCAGCATGGCTGCTTTCGTGTCTTGGCTCCATCTGCCATTCGCACCAAAAATTTTGGTTTCTTACTTTCTATGCACGAACGAAAATTCTTTGGTTTCTAGTAGCTACTTCACTTCTAAAGAATTTGGGGATCCGATGTTTCCGTGCCCACACGCCTTTATCATCGTGGCGTAGCATGTCAGGATGTGTGGGGGCGCAACCGGCGCTTGCTCAAAATGCCCTCGTGTTGAAATGCGTTATGCTTTATCTGGAGCTTTTGTCTCTGGACCGTACAGATCTTACCGACGATTTGCAACACTGGAATCCCGCCTTAATCTCCACACAATCCACGCGCGATAGAGGTTGCTGCTACCTTTTGCAGTTGGCATGCACACGAGTCACCATGGTTCTCGAGCCACCGAAGCGAAGGAGCCACCACGCAAGCACACGCACACGTAACGGAGTCTTGACTCCACCCGTACACGTACGTCCCCGCGGCCCCGTCTCGTCCCGTCCCAAGCGTTTGCGAGCAGCCAAAGGGTGGAAGCGTGGCCGCGAAGAAAGCGCGGCAAAGCAAAGCCGGCAAATGCGAGAGCAGCGTCCAGCGTGAGCTCCCCGCGACGGGAACGTGAAATCATTCATACGTGTCCCCGGGCTCCCAAGTGTCGCGCGCCGGGGCGCCGCGCGCATGGCCCCCTCGCGTGCTGCCGACGCCGGCCACTTACTACTTACTACTCCCTCCGTCTTAAAAAAAAAAAACCCTAAGTCTTCGTGTCCAACTTTGACTGTTAGTCTTATATGAAATTTTTTTATAATTCGTATTTTTATTGTTGTTAGATGATAAAACATGATTAATATTTTATACATGACTTGTCTTTTTAATTTTTTTTATAAATTTTTCAAATAAAACGGACGGTTAAACGTTGGACACGAAAATCAGGGTTTGTCTTTTTTTTTTTTTTTACGGAGGGCCGTAGCCCAGCGCCACCACCAAACCTGCAGCGGCAGCCAGGCATCCCGCGCCGTCCCATCGGCGGATCGGCCACGCATCCGCGTCCGCGTGGGCTCCTGCACCGCACAGGCCGGCGCACACCGCGTGCGCCGTAGCGGCGCCGCGCGGAAGGCGGTTTGGTGGGTTTGCCGCGCGCGCGCCTGCGCGGTCGCGGCGGCCGTCCCACCGGATCGATCGGTGCACGCACCATGTACTGGCCATGTCACGGCGTGGTCGCAGACTCGCAGTACTCCTCAGTCCTCCCTGTGTCATATTCATCCAAAGTTAACGATCCGTACATAGCCAGGGTGCGTGCTGATGAAAAGATATAGGAATTCGCGTTTGATTGTTGGAGGGTACAAATGTGTAGATTAAATGAGTTATTTTAAAAAGTTGTAAAATACTTCCCCCATGTTAAAATGTGAACATTTTTTAGTTTGATACGGGTATTAAAAAGTAGTGATAATAATTAGAGAAAATGTGTGATTGGTTGAGAAGAAAAAGAAGATAAAAGATAATGGCTGTGATTGGTTGAGATGAGGAAGTAGGTGGAGAAATAATTTTATTTGAAACAATGTATTGTGCTAGAAATAACTATGGACTTGTTCGGACTTGTGCATCCATTTAGTTTCCTACCAAACTAGATCTAGTAAATAAATAAGAAATCCTGCTAAAACTTGGCAATATTGGCTATAATCTAAACAAGCACTACATTTTGAACTGGAGGTAGCACCGATGAAGAAACCCCTCTCACTTGGTTGACAACCAATGAACCCTTATGTACCTTCGAACCTCTTCAGGACCCTCGAATCGAAATTCAGACGACTTTCTTCTCTATAAAAGAAGCATTTTCAAGATTTTCGCTGAAGTCATCTTGTAGCTTAAGTTTATTGGCATCTTGACATCTCACTTTTTTGCGCTTAAGATTTTATCGATATATACCTTTAAAAGCTTGGAAGCGTGACATGCTAACCCAAAATCCATTTGCGAAAAAGAATAAGCTTGGAAAACAGGACTAGATCAATACATAAGAGGTGAATTTACACGGTCCGATAGAATTAAGTACAATATGAATATATAATTGTGGCAGCTTTAAAGAGTACTCCTATACTTGTAATTTGGACTATCGCGATAAATAGTATTACGAAGTGCGACCAACTAAAAGTTAGACCCAAATAACACCTGTGTACAGTAGATGCATATGCAGACAGGCCAATCAGTACTGTGTAGGAAAAGAAATATAGAACTACAGCTAAAAATTGATTAACTAAACGAAATATCTCATTGAGGTGGGGATAAATGATGCGCTTAATTTATGCAATGATTAGTGGATTATCCTATGTTGTTTTGGATGAAGCAGGCTATTTTATTGAGGTCCTTCATAAAAACCACAAATAAATTCGCATAAAACAATGATAATATAACGTCCACTAGGGGCACCTAATTTGATACAATGAATTGACCCTGCCCATGCATTATCGATTAGCGCCTCCACATGTGCCCATACCAGCAAATCTCTGAACAAAATCTTGCTTAACGAATAAATAATCAGTCGCGGCGGCCATTTATCGTAGTGAGCTGGTCTTCTTTGCCCAACCGTTTGGAACAAATTTAAGAAATACCAAAACAAATCCTAACTATATTACTATATATGTTCTTCTTGCAAAATAATGTCGAAGATAGTCCGTTTGGAACGTCCATATACGAGTTAGTACGTTAAGTTGTTTTTGAAGTTTGCATGAAACAATTTGGTTACCTTGCTCTTGCTAGAGATAGAAAAATCAGGTGCATTAATTGAGCCGCTACATCTCAAAATAAACAAATAAATTTAGAGTAGTTATAATTGTTAGAGTAGCTTGATTGCTTGAAGATTGTTGTGCCTCCTTTTGCATGTGACTATACAATACTATCTATTAACAATTACACTGGATCGGCACTAGTTCATGTTTTTAAGTATCTGCCCAACGCCGAGCACAAGCACAAACCTTAATTAATCAGGTTTGTACATTTAAATCATGCAAACATATTCGCGATGTCGGAGGTTTCAACCGCAAGAACGGCCGCCCCCCTTGTCGCCAAGCAAAGTTTAGCAGAGTTAACATTTGCAAGTGACACTTTTATATTGCCACTTTCACATGCAAACCTTGATTAGTTGTTAGATAACCTCCTCTACGCAGCTTAATTGGAAGTGCCCCGCACGTATCGCATACAAAACGGACCCGGTATATTTAGGTCTTTGACTCTTTGTTCTTTTCTAATTCTAGATTTTCAATTTTTGTTTGCACATTTTCAAAGCTTCCAAACGGTGTGTTTAATGTAAAAATGTCTACATAAATTTTTTAATAATTTTTAAAACCATCTTTTCAATTTTACAGTAGTTAACTTATTTGGTTTATACTCTCGAATCGATTTCACGAAAATCAAATTATCTATTAATCCATCAATTTTAGCTAGTGGCGAACCCATAACGAAAATTACCGAGGTCCTTATGCTCATAAAACTTATGTAGAAGCCTTCTTAGGTGTCCAATCTAATTTGGTTGGGGTGTCCCATATGGTATAAATACGTAGCTTATAACTGTAAAGAAAATTTTTACCGGTGTCTAAGGACCCTGTTGGCCCTTACTAGGTACGTCTCTGATTTTAGCTATCTCGGGCTTAATCCCAATAAATTGGCTTAATCCGTTCAAATTAACCCAAATTAGCTACAACTACTTAATGTCAACATCACAACAGGATTGATAACATGGAACCAAACTCCGCGTTCCACAGATTTTTCTACCCTGCATATCACATCAAGCCAAACAAATGATGCTTAGCTAGTCTTGTTCAACCAGGATTGGGGGTTTGAACGAGCCTGTGATGGAAAACGGCGGACAGGTGGCGCCATCCTGGCACAAGAGACGCGCGACGTGGCGAGCATCCGACGGCGCATGCACGGCCTGGGGTCCCGTCCTACTCGCGTGACAAAAGCCAGCGCCCCACCCCCACCCCATTGACGGTCGCCGTGTGCAACCTGTAGCCATCAATCGCCGTCGTCCGCCCGTCTCATCGACGCAACACACACAAGAGGGCAGAGACTGGTTGGTTGGTGCGTGCGTGCGTCGCAGGCGCAGGCGCAGGAGAAGCTTCCATGTAGTGGTCGATCGTGATGATTCAGCGTGACGGTCATGTCCGGGTACTCGTCGGTTTTTTTTTTCTCTGGACAAAAGCTGGAAATAATGCGCCCAGCTGATCGAGGATCACAAGTGTTCGGATTCGTATCTGGAAACTGGAACTCACTGCTTGCACATATTGGCTGTGTTTAGTTCAGCACAAAGTTTAGATTTTAGTTGAAATTGAAAATGATGTGACTGAAAAGTTATGGGTGTATAACAGGTTAATGTGGTGAAAAAAGACTAAAGTTTGGATCCAAACTTTGAATCTAAACAGCCGTTTTATGCATGATTCATATATGTTTGGGGGGGGGGGGGTTTGATGGGATATGGCATCATCTTTGCGACAGGTCATTGTTGCTGTTTTTTTAAGCAAAAAGGTAGGGTACGGTAAAACAGGACAAATTTTACCATTTATATATGTAATTTAATGTTTATCGGAATTTGGTAAAGAGGGATAAACGTATGCTTACTTACTTCCCGTGTCCTATGTATAAAAAACTTAATTCTAAAGATGAATTTAGACATGATTGTGTTCTATGCCACAGGTTAGAGATAAATTTTTACCACAGGTGAAACGAAAAAGCTTATTAATGTATAATTAATTAAGTATTAACAATTATAAACTTTAAAAATAAGATTTATTTGAATTTTTAAATTTCTATATAGATTCTTTTTTGAAAAAAGAATAATATAACAGTTTTAAAAGCGTGCTAACGGAAAATAAGAAAGTTGAAGTTTGGAGTCATAGTGTGTGCTTAGGTTCATCTCTAGAACAGAGGATGTATGTTTCAACACCCTAATTCACATGGAGATACCCTCTCATACGGTCATACCTCATAAAAAAGTAAAAACAACCATACCTCCATCAATTTGAAACATATTTATGTTTCGAAGAATGGACCATCACTGTCTGCAGGAACAGAAACATTTTTGCACACTGTACGAGCAACGGCAACATCTCTTTAACCTTCTCAACTTTTTATCCAAGATACGAACTTATCAGTAGCTGATGCGAGTAGTGACATACAGTATATACTGACATGGTGTGCACTGTGCATAGTGGACCGATCTAACGGCCGGAAGTGCATTGTCATCTGCGTATGGTCATCGTACTAAAGTTGTCGTCTGCGTGACAACAACTACACATACACTTACAATTATCGATGGAGTAATCAACAATGCAAAGCACACCTAACAGGCTAACACATCACGGAGTACTGCTCTAAACAGTTTGGCAGTATTCTAGTCGGCTGTGTTTAGTTCCACACTAAAATTAAAAGTTTGAAGAAATTAGAACGATGTGAAGTTAGAAATTTGTTTGTGTAGAAAAGTTTGATATGACAGAAAAGTTGAAAGTTGGAAGAAAAAATTAGAATCTAAACAGCGCCATATTGGGTGTTTGGTCTCATCATCTGCCCTGCCATGATCTTATCCAATAAATTCAGTGCAGGTATTGACCAAATGACCATTTCAACCACAAACAACAGCTAGACAACCCGTACACTACACACCAACTTGCATGGTAGCAGAACAATAAATCCTGCACCAAAAACTGGAAGGTGGTACAAAGAAATAAATAACCGGTAAGCATTCTTGTCCTGTTGCTAACTAAACTCCCTCTGTCCTAAAGAGTACCCTTCGTCTTTAAATATTTAACACGGTTGATTTTTCAAAATCGTTCGTTTTATTTGAAAATTTTAAGTAATTATTAATTTTTTTCTATCATTTGATTTATTGTTAAATATATTTTTATATATACATATAGTTTTACATATTCCACAAAGTTTTTAATAAAACGAACGGTCAAACATGTTTTAAAAAGTTAACAACATTAAATATTTAGGGATGGAAGGAGTATATTTCTAACCGTCAAAATGTGTCCGAAAATTATTAATGGAAAATGCATACATCACTAAAGGGGAAAATATATGCTTTAGCAATTCAGTTAAGGTCTATTTGGTTGGCTGCAAAAGGTTAGCAGGCCAAACCTCAAAAGTACCAGCCGCCTCATCTTTCCGCTTATGTTTATACTTTTTATCAGCTAAAATTTAAATTTTTAATCTTAAATCAGAGTTAATTTTGTGTTTTTTTATAGTTCATTTTTCACCCTTTACTTTTAGATCATGAAGAACACGTATATAAAAGTTTTATTTACAAATTATTTTTCATTTGCAAATACGTCTGTTCACTTTTTCCTTCATTATGCCAAACGATGGGGGGACTGGAAACCTATTTGATCCTATTTGGTTTGTTGTTATAGTTGTGACACGACTAACTTTTTTTTGTTAGACAAAAAAAAAGCATGATAAGACATACTTACTTAAATTAATTAGTTATGATAATGGACCTGTTCGGCAAGCCGGCTGCTATGGCTATGGCTATGGCTACATAACATACTTGATGCGAGTTACTGCTTAGTCACAAAACAAGCAGCCGAACAACATTAAACATGAACAAAACAACCTCTTATTTTGGTCTAATAGGTAACCACTTCTGGCACTTTTGCCAGCTTATTGTAAGGGGGGGAAAAATCTGTGGTTGCAGTAAAGATTGCCATCGGACGCAGTAAAACGTGTCACTACCCCACTGTTACAAAAAAAAAAAACATCACCATTTGCTGTATTTTTAACGTTAACCACACCACCACACTAGCGAGTAGCGATAGACCGGGAGGCCACTCCACCCCATCCCCACACTCTAGAAGCGTCTATAAATACCTCGACTCCTCCCACTGTATCCACTACCATCTCCCGTGTCCTCCTCCCACCTCGCTCCCCCGTAAAACCCGAAATTACAATCAGGTCCTCGGCGGACGCCACCCCCAAATCTGAAACCCTCGCCGCCGCCGCCGCCGCGCGATCCCCCCCGGAATTCCATCGGATCGGCCCCCGCCTCTCCGGCGAGATGGGCATCTCGAGCATGCCGGCGCCCAAGGACAGCGTGGTGGCGTACCTGCTGTACAACACGGCGGTGTCGATCGCCATCCTGGCGGACATGGTGCGGGCGGCGCTGGTGTTCCTCGGCCTCCCCGTGCCGCCCTCGGCGTGGGAGGACGGCGACGACCAGCTGGCGGCGATCGCGGCGGCCGCCGCGGCCGCGGCCGCGGCGGCGGGGGGCCCGAGCCTGGCGGACAGGTTCCGGAGCAGGTTCAGGCCGGCGAGGTTCGGGCGGCGGCGAGGCGGGGGCGCGGGCGCGGCCGACTGCCGCGTCTGCCTCGCGCGGTTCGAGCCGGAGTCGGTGGTGAACCGCCTCCCCTGCGGCCACCTCTTCCACCGCGCCTGCCTCGAGAAGTGGCTCGACTACGACCACGCCACCTGCCCGCTCTGCCGCCACCGCCTCCTCCCCGCCACCACCGAGTCCCCCTCGCCGTCGCCGGCGACGGCGACCCCCCATTTCGCCCGGATTTAGAGAGATCTCCCCCCTTCAATCCGCCACTGGGCCGTGTGCGCGTAGGAAAATTGAGAGGATCATTTAGCTCTAGTGCTAGCTCCATTTAGTGCTCCTTTTTCCCCCCACTTTCTTAATTTTTTTTTCACCTCTTTGCAGTGTTTTTTTTTACCATCTTCGAGTGGCCTTTTCTTTTCTTTTCTTTCTTTTTTTACTTCTTTGTGTTGCTGCTGTACCATTGTAAATATTTGCAGAGTGCTCCGATCGATGGAGAGGTGTAGCACTTGTGTACAGGGCTTTTGGAAAGCGAAGAGATGAGAAGGAGAGAAAAAAAAATCATTGCCCAAAAAAAGCTCCTCCCCTTTTTACCTTTTTCTTCCTCTTTAAATACTTTTTCTATACCAGAATAACTAAAAAAAGAAACATAATTCCAAGATCAAAGTGAATTAATTAGTAGAGTGTAGACATAATTTGTACTACAATTTTTAATCGTGTTTTTGCTGCACATAAAAGAGGAGGGAGAGAAGAGTATAGAAGAAGAAGAGGAGGAAGGAATGTTCTAGTGGTGTGAAGGAGGGATGATATGATATTTTGGGGGTTAGCAAGAGCAAAGGAAAGCAGGTTGGGGAGGAGGGATATCTCTAGAGGTTATGAGAGGAGAGGAGCAAAAAAAAAAAAAATTGTGGGGGAAAAGCGGTGAAAGAGGCTTGTTGTTTACGTGGGTCACATGGGGGACGTGTGATTGTCACCGCGGGGACCCACACGCCGTTGTCCGCATCGCCGTCGCCGGTGGTGGTGGTGGAAGCAACAGGCCAACCTCGCCATTAACTCCGTTCGTGCCTCATCGCAAATACTCTCTCGTTAAAAAAAACTAACATTGGGATGTGACATATCATAATATAATAAATATTGTATTAAAATATATCACATCTAATCATAGATTTTTTTTTAACAGAGGAAGTATGCAGTAGTAATCTAATAATATAGCAATTTAAAATAAGTTAGAATTAGATTACGAATCTAAACATTACTACATTTTTGGATTTGGGATAGGATCTATACACAATTATGATACCGGATCGAAATCTGCTCACGAACATATCGGCGGATTTCTCGAAATCCGTTTGATAAATTTGACAAAATCCAGATAATTTTTGTTAGAATTTTAAAATCCAGTTTGACTTTCTTGAACTTGACCTATAAACAAAGAGGTTTGTGATTTTAATCCCGATTGGATTCCGTGAAATCCGAATCGGATTTAACTGAAATTGCGAACCTAATTCTACACTCTTAAAATATAAGCAATTTAAGATGGGTTATGATTAGATTATGAATATAAATAATTCTATCATTCATTGCTACTCCATCCGTTTCAGGTTATAAGGCGTTTTGATCTTGGTTAAAATCAAACTGTTTCAAGTTTAACTAAGTTTATAGACAAATATAGTAATATTTATAATATTAAATTAATTTCATCAAATCAATAATTAAATATGATTTCATAATAAGTTTGTCATGGGCTAAAAATATTTTTTTTTACAAATTTAGTCAAACCTAAAGTAGTTTGACTTTAACCAAAATCAAAACGTTAACCTGAAACGGAGAATATATTTTAAGACGAAGGTTAGGAGGTATACGTTGGTCTATCTGCGTGCACCTTGCTGTCGACATGGATGGATGGACCATCGGGATGATCACTGATCAGGCTGGCTCTGTGTGTTATCTCATCTGGATGGCTCTGTGCGTTATCTCATCTGAATGGAATGGCTGGCTTGGCTGGTTGGCCCAAGGTTAGGCCGGTCCAGTGGCAGCTCGACACACGAAAGCAGGAAAAGGAAAAGGAATAAGTTCAACCCTCAAAAGTGATCGAAATCTAAACCATAACCCTAAACTACAAAACCGGATATCTCGACCCCCAAACTCCTAAATCCGGTGCAATTTGACTCCCTAGACGGTTTTGGGAGGCGGTTTTGCTGACGTGGCGTCTACGTGACAATATTGACCGAGTCGTTGTTACACGTGGCGTTGACGTGGCACCTACGTGGCGGTAGAATAAAAAATATGCGTGGGACCCGTTTGTCATTCACACACATAAAAAATGTGGGGCCCACTGACATGTGGGCCCCACATGTCATCCTCCTTCCTTCTTCCTCCTCCCTCTCTCTCTTGTTCACCCTCGGCCGGCGGCGGGGCATGGGCTGCGGTGTGGTGGCGGCCGGTGGGAGCTGAAGCGCTGGCGGCAGCGGGAGCTAGCTGGAGCGGGTTCTGGAGCGCCGCCGGCGTGGTGGACGGAGATGGCGCAAGGAGCTCGTCCCCCGGGTCAACGGCGACGGACCTCGGCGCGACGAAGAGGCGGTCGCCCCCCTCCGACGGTGGCGGCGGTCCCCCGAGTGGAGGAGTCGACGATGGCGAGGCTAGTGCTTGGCGAGATGGGGTCGGCGTCGTGGAGGAAGTCGACCGGCGGGGGTTGCCCTTGGCGTCGTCGATGGCCAAAGACGGAGGCGGAGGTTGAAGGCGGCGGTCCACGCGGTCGAAGCCAGCGGTGCAGCCGTGCCGGGGTGGAAGAGGGAGGCGGCCACTTGGGGCCGCTGCGAGACGAGCAGGACGGCGGCGGCGGCCACAAGTTCCGGCCCTCCGAGCTGGAGCAGGGCCGAGCCACCCACCCGCCACCGCCGCCGCCGCCGCTCCGGCCTTCCACCACCCGCCGCCGCCGCTCCAGCCCACCGCCGCCGCCACTCCAGCTAGCTCCCGCTGCCGCCGCCGGCTGAAGGGGAAGAAGGGGAGAGAAAGAGAGAAAAGGGAGAGAGGGAGGAGGAAGAAGGATGACATGTGGGGTCCACATGTCAGTGGGCCCCACAATTTTTTTTATGTGTGTGAATGACAAACGGGTCCCACGCATATTTTTTTATTTCTGCCGCCGCGTAGGTGCCACGTCAACGCCACGTGTAACAAAGACTCGGTCAATATTGCCACGTAGACGCCACATGGCGCTACGTCAGCAAAACCGCCTCCCAAAACCGCCCAGGGAGTCAAATTGCACCGGTTTTAAGAGTTTGGGGTCGAGATATTCGGTTTTGTAGTTTAGGGTCATGATTTAGATTTCGATCACTTTTGAGGGTCATGAAGTGAACTTATTCCAAAGGAAAAAACCTGCACTGTGATTAGTGCTTACCGGTAGTGGCCCTGCTTGTTTTTTTTTTTTTTAGAAAAGCCGTTGATAGAACTTAATTTTATAATTGAGTTTAGCCTTTAAGTCGCTCTCGTCACTCAGCTTCGATGCTTGGACAGCGCGAGTAGGCAAAATTAGTTGTAAGCCGCAGGTATAAAAATTAGGAGTGCCGTAGTAGAGTGGACAATTCGGTTGTTAATCATATACCTGGTGGAGTAACGAAAATGGGTATTTTAATTGGATGCTAAATCAGTCGGCAGCCAATCTGATTAATGGTTTCTGTTTAGGGTGGGATCGCCCTGAATCTTTGATGCTTACAAATTTAAATTTGCAACGGAAAATGCATGTAAATCGACCCCAGAAATTACTGAAGTAGATGTTCTTCCAGCCGATATCCCCTTTTTATTCCCGTTTATGCTCCACTAGTAGTTTCAACTTCGCTTAGGATGAGAGTAAGTTTTTTTTTTCCCATTATCTTGAAAAAAAATATCTGATGCAACCGGTTTCTTGGAGATCACAGGTCGCATCAGCACCGTTTGAATCTTGACTGAAAAATGTTGTTGGAGACTTGGAGTCCATTTTTGCTTTGCCCAGATTGGATAAGAATAGTGCTGGTCCTTTTCAGATTAAAAACAGCAGGTCTATTGTTTGGGTTCAGAAAATATCTGAGCCTTCGCCATCCTGATGCTTTTGTTAAGACCATACTCAATAGGAGAAAAGACAAGATATACGACAGATTAACACAAGCAATAGCGATTGGAGGTTTCGCCTTCTGTGTACCTCACAACTTTGTTGCATCATTCACTTATTATTTCTGCTTTTGTACAGATCAAAATGGTGCAAAGAAACGAGTTACAGAACATTGTCGCTCTATATAAATCATTGAGAAAAGTGTAAAAATACGGAGGACCAAAAAACTTCATGATCCAGTCAGATTATATTCCATCACTTCATGTTGACACAGTATAATGAATGGTATGGTATCTAAATCCTGCAATCTATGCAATTGCAACTATATATGGTCTACGACAACAAACTTTGGGTTGGCATCCTGATTGAAAGCAAAAAAAAATCGATCACAATGCCTAAGCTATTGCAGAATACGCAAAACCCACTCTTGAGGTCTAACAAATGAATCGGCCGTATCTTCAATCAAGCAATATATATACAGGGGGTCATACTGGTGGTCAGGAATGTTCAGTCGTTCAGTATTATGCACAGGGACTGTAGAGGTGAGAATTCTTATCTGGCATGTGGCAGCTGCTTCGATGCTAGAATGAACATCTCCTTCAAGCGAGCAGATGAACCGGAAAGAACACTCTTCTCGATTCTCTTACGGTGCCTAGTGGTCTTCGACCATTCAATCCCAAGAAAGACTTGTACACTACACGCCCTCTGTTTAGGAGCAAGGTCTTCGATCTGATACCGTATATGAATCTGCAAGAACAAGTCAGGTGAACAGATCATTTACAATGTTTGTTATGGTTCTATGCAGAAAGTAAGCATGATATGACTAATTGAATCACAGAAAATCATGTCTCAACAAATACTTTTTAAATTGGTTTAAACAAAAGTCTGTCTAAATAAATAATTGGACCTGACGACCTGTTTTCATTTTTCAACAGCATTTTTTTTTCTATACTTGTTTTCTGGAAGTGGTAGCATTTAGATTGTGCTAGTCTTAGTCAACTTGCCTGTTAGTATAAGCATGCACTATTTTGCTTAGTCAGGGTCAACTAAACTTCCCAGGTGATAAGTGGACAACAGCTAGCTTATCTTAATATGAAGCACCAAATAAGTAATAGTGGAGGGGTTGGCTTCAAATGTCAACGCGTAAAAGCAAACATTCGAGCTGAGTAGGGAGGCACCAACAGAAGCTTCAAGTATATGTACATACCGTGAAGAAGTCACCGAAAAGGATTCCTTGTAGTTCCATCACCTCTTCAATAATCCACCCTGCCTTGTTGGGCATAGGAGATTTCTGCTGGGTTCCAGTCACTTCACCTCCAATGGGAGACAACTTCCTGCTGAACTTGTAATGAATTTGTCTTTGATATTCATCAGGCTTATCTGATTCCCACTGTGTGGCTGAATAATTTAGGCATCCAACTTTATTCATGATTTTCATCTCAAATGAACCTCCTCCAAACACTTCCATTAGTGAGGCCATCTGGAAAGAGTCTATGTCAGTTCAGCTCT